CTGTAGCAAGTGTCCTTTGAGGGGGCAGACGTAAAATTGTGTCACGCAAGGCAGCTTGTTGCAAGCTGGATGTCTTCCAGAGACTCTTGTTGCGAGTCAGACTGTCTGCTACTGCTTTCCCCCACAAGTGGAGTTTCTTACAAATCCTGAAAACAGTGGAGATCTCCCAAGCATCTAGTCTACCTGCAAGAGGGTTTCAGCACTTCAAAAGACCATTAACTTTTTGTTTCAAGAACGGACCAGAACATGGTTACCAAGACATTCCCCAGTCATTACACTACGTGCATTGCACAAATCCTGTAAGATTTGCCCCTGGCTGCATAGCAAATCTTTGCTTTGTCTGCTTCCTGAAGAGGATAATAACTTCAGGAGAAAAAAGAAATCCTTCCTGAAGAATGTCAGGAAATACCTGTTTTGGTATGACCCAGCTGGCTTCTTGCATCAAGTCATGTACATGCACTGGCCATGATATATTATTATAATGTCTCATGCTGATTTCTGTATGTGATGAATGAGTATCTGTAAACAGCTAGTGAGAAATGTCTGAGTGTTGGCGGATCAGAAAAGGAAGTCACCTTTGCTTTCTGCAACATGCATAACCCCTACATGTAATTATTTCTTGCATCGGTCTCTGTGGACAGCAGTGAGGTATCATCTTGCCTAGCCAGCTAAGTGGAATGAGAGACAAAGAATATCACCCTGCACAAAGACTACTACCCCCCTGAAAGGGGGAGAAATAAATCTTTGTCTTCAGAAAATACCACTTGAAAGATTGGTATTCCTTGGTATAATTCAACAGTACCAGCATACACCACAGGGGACAGAGTTTCTGCCTGAAAGCTGTTCACTAAGTCTGCAGGATGTGGGAAGCCAGTAATGTGGGGGGGGGTTTTGCCACAAACCACAGCTGTAAAGAAACCTCTATTCTGTACTAGATACAAAGGTCCTTATCCCCAAGTGTATTTTCCATGAAATCATAGCCCAGTACTGGAAAAGGCCTAGCTGCTTGGTTGAATGCCTTCAGACCATCTCTGCCATCTTCCCTGTGCAACCTAGCCCTAGATAAGGATGTTCTAAAAGCAGCCAAGTAACTGAGGTCTGTAATCTTTGAAATTAGTCTTTCCTGGAAACACACTGTGACATCCAAAGTACTCTACCATTCTTTCTGAAATTATGGGCAGAAGTGGCATCTCAAATGCATTACTGTCATTTAGAGAAGTAAGAGAATGGCAACCATTAATCAGCAATTTTCATTTGCTGTATTTCTTGTTGATATATCTGACTTCATTTCTAAGATGATCTATTTCCCAATGAGTAAAACTGTCTCATCTCTTCTATGTTGACTTGTTGCATGATAAAGGATCTTGCATTTGTACAGGGCATCTGAAGCCTCTCTTCAAGAGAGGACAAAAGACACTGAGCTTAGTTGCTTCCATCTGTCACTCTGGAGCTGCATCAGAAATGAACCAGGGCTTAAATGACTTCCTGTATATAAAAGAAAATATTTGTGAAGCAGAGACCTGAAAGTCCAGGTGTTCTTTTACTAAACATCACAGTATGCATGTTAGTTATTAATTTTATACAGCTTTTCACCAATATATTCTAGTGATTTTGAATGTAAAAAAAAAAATTAATAGATGTTATTTTTAAAGAATTAGAAGGCATGGTTTCCTCCTTGCACTGTATCCCAATTGCTGCTGTTACTCTAAACCACAATTAATGTAGGTTATAGGCAGCCCATACAATCATCTATTATTTTGCACTACCACAAATCAGTATAGTTTTGCAAGTGTGTAGATATCACACTGTTGGCTCCATATGTATCGAAAACTATTTTCTTGATTGATTTCATTGCCTTTCAATCACCTATTAAGAGAAGACAACCCAGTACTATAGAGTTGATGTTTTGCATGCCACTAGGAACACTTGTAGTGAGTAAGAAACCTTTTCTGCACGATGGAGCTGGCCCTAGAGCTGCCTCCTGCTCACCCTGTGGTACTGAACCTGCCCTGCATTGGACCCCAGGCCATATTGAAGACGTCTGCCTCATAAGACGTTGCAATGGATCCTCTTCTGTCATGGGATGGCTGTAGTGATTTCATTTACAAAGTAGTCTGAGCCTGGAGACCTCCTGTATTTCTGCTCTGATGAGGACACCCTAGTCATAGGTAAGGAAAGCTTCAGAGCAGCATAGAAAGATAAGAAAAGGATCTGTGAACTGAGAGAATGGAAATTTGGTAGCTACAAGAGAGAGAGACGTGAGGCATCACAGCACAGAGCAGAACAGAGCTATAATGTTGCCAGAGGAGTGGACCAGGTATGTTTGTCTGTTGTATCTTTTATTACTTTTGGACACGGTCCATCTTGTTTACTGTGTGTATTGTTGTCTCTTGGTTATGGAAAGGTGAAACACAAAGCAGCACATCCCAGTTCACACAGTGGTAATGGGGATGTGCTACTGCTTTTTGTAAGTAAGTGCAGCGAGATAGCTAGAGACCATCCAACCCAAAGACCAGGGAACAAAGACTCATTTAGTCTGCAAAGACTATTCTTTGCTGAAATATCAGTGTACATTCTTGTACTTACTGAAGCAGTATTCCTTGCAGAGCTCTACAATGCACTACAGCCTCAAAACCAAGATGTTCAAGTTCAGGTCTAGGTCTCTTGCATGCTATAATAGAGTATGCCACAGAGAGGCAGGGACTACACAGATGGTCGTGTGATCATCTGTGTAGGATCTGCCTTATGGCAGTGCAGAATAGGATTTTTTCACTTTTTCTAACCATTGATCTTTGTTAGAGAGACAGAAAGTGTGCTGGGATTGTTTTCATCAGCTTTTGTTTGTTCCTGTGCACAACAAAAGGGAACTGTTGGGAGCTGTATTCAGTGTTGGCAGTGAAGATCCCACTTTTTCTTTCCCATTGTCTTCCTCCATTTGCCAGCTAGTAACAGAGCATATAGAGAACTGCCCTCTGCCTTCTCACACAAGTGTCCTGAAAGGTTTTGGTAAGCCTGTGCCCAGGAGTGTATTCAATCTATTATTAACCCCATGTAGATAGTATAGTTTGTTGCTGAATTATAGCTAAAACAGCCCTAGAAAAGCTATTTTAATTGTAAGAAAATTAATTCAGATCCTGTCTCACAAATCTAATTCTCAAATGTTGCTAGGGAAACGGAAGGCTGGACAGAGAAGCAGTAACTGCAATGTGTCTGATTTCAAGGATTACTGTACCCAGGAGGTTACCTGTGTCCTTACTGGTTGGACACCCCAAGACTCTTCTCCCCTGATTTTCCATTGCCATTTTGCCTCCTTTCCAAGGAGACAAATGGCTTGGTCCTTCTGCCACCCCTCCCTGCCACTGAGGAGCAGCAGTGAACAAGGGCTAGTAAGACAGACCCACCTCAAGGGGCTTGCCAGGGTTAATCCGTGGGTGGTTCTGACGTGCTCCAAGTGCCACGTAGGACTGTGAGCTGTGCAAGTGTTGTAGCTCAGCTCTTTGCAGCTCCCCCTCCTTGTCTCCCTCCCC